GTATCGTGCAATGGTCGTGGCCACTTGTGAGCTTGTTTGGTTAAAACAACTAATTCAAGAGTTGAGATTTGTCGAAGTATCACAAATGAAATTACTCTGTGATAACCAGGCTACCCTTCATATTACTTCAAATCCAGTGTTTCATGAGAGGACTAAACACATAGAGATAGATTGTCACTTTGTTCGAGAGAAAGTTCTATTAGGGGATATTTCAACTAGTTATGTCAGTTCCAACGACCAGTTAGCAGACATCCTCATTAAGTCTCTCAAGGGTTCTTGTGTTGATTTTATTTGTACCAAGCTTGGTGCATATGACTTATATGCTTCAGCTTGAGGGGGAGTGTTGAAGTGTAAAATAGGTGATGAAGTTAGGAAATAAGATTATTCTCTATATTAGGTTAGGAATCAAATCAATTATATTAGGAATGTAATTATTTTCTTCTTAGATTAGTTTTTTGTTTTTGCTATAAATTCATTATACATCTCATTATGAAAATACAAGAAAATATTTCTTCACAGAATATATCTATTGCACTTACATCAGACATATGGGCTTGTAGATCAAAAACCAATTTTTTAACTGTCATGGTACATTTCTTAGATCATAATTGGGGTTTATAACAAAAATTGATAGGTTTTAAACTATTATATGAAAAACATAGTGTTGAAACTATTTATTTTATAATTCTTGAAGTTTTGCAAGAATATTTATTAACTAATAGAGTTGTAGCGCTAACGTTTTATAATGCAGCTGCTAACACTGCGACAATCTCTTTATTTGAAAAGAGATTGGATCCGCGTGGTGAAGACAAATTTTTTCACTAGAGATGTGCTTGCCACATCATCAATTTGATAGTTAAAGCAGGTTTAGATGCTATACATTCGAAGATGGAGAGGGTGCGCAGAGCTATCGGATTTATCGTTGGCGATAGTAATAAAAGATGGCAGGATTACGTCAAATATTGTAAGTAAGAAGAGGACCCACCAGTTCTACCTTTGAAGTTATGTACAGACATGCCTATCCGTTGGGACTCCACCTACTTGATGTTAGAAAAAGCTTTGCCAACCGCGAAACAAATTACAGATTTTGTCAACCAGAAGAACCGTCCAGAGGAAGTTGTCAGCTATGATGATGGGGCGGTTTGTGAACTTTTTTATTCATTTTTTCAAATTTTTGATGATGCTACTAATACATTAAGTGGTATTTATTATCCAACTACTAATATAGTGTTAGATATTTTACTTCAAATTGCTAAAACTTTTGCTCAATATAGATATAATAACATTTTAAGTGAAATTGTTTTAAAGATGGAAGAAAAATATAAGAGATATTGGTTAGATATTCAATTCTTATATGGATTAGGCCTTATTCTAGATCCTAGGTTTAAATTACACGTAGTTAACTGTATAATTACTGAGATATGCCAGCATTTAGGACATGATTATACGTCTTATTCGACTGACTTTAAACAAAAATTGGATAGCCTTTTTTCTTTATATGAGAATAGGTACAATGGAAGTAGAAGTGGAACGTTTAGGAGAAAGGATCCGGACCTTAATGCAGCCTTTCGTCAAGGATCGAGCAAGTGGACGTATGTGGAATGCGGTGGAAGTAGCAGCTCCAGCTCATACATACATGGACCAAATGAGCTGAATCGTTACCTACAAGTGAACCTATCCTTTATGACGATAAAGGAGAAACATGATATGAATATTCTTCAGTGATGGAACCAACATGAAAGTCGGTTCCCCATTGTAGCCCAAATGGCACGTAACATTTTATCTGTGCCGGTTTCTATAATTGCATCCGAGTCAACATTTTCAACGAATGGTCGGATTATTGAAGACAAAAGATGTTCTTTAACCGATGAGATGATTGAAGTCATAACGTGTTTACGAGTTGGACTCAAGCAGAAAGAAGACTACAACATCACCCTGAAGATCCCAAACTACTCGAACTCTTTAGGAATATAGATTTGAATGATGTAAATATTGTTGGCGATGAAAATGAATAATTTAATTAAAAAATTATTTAATTGTTTATTTGTGAAGCGTGAATGTGTGAAACGTGAATTTATGTTAAAAATTAAAATTAACTATTAATTAATTAAATTTTTAGAAACTTACTAATCTGCCCCTGAAAAATACTAAAATCCCCCTACAAAATTTTGTTTCGCCCCAAAATATAAAAAAAGATCGGGGGGGGAGGGGGGGGGGGTGAATTGTCTAGGCCCATAGGACCAGTCCGGGTCCTCATTTTGCTCATGGGCCTGGTACTAGTCCCAGCCTGAGCCTGCTTGGGACTGGTCCCTGCCCACCTCTAAATGTTTATAATAGAATATTATAATTAATTAAGTAATCATATTATAAATCTATAATATAATATTATAATTAATTAAATTTCTAATCATTTAATTAAGTGATATACTAATGTAGTAAATTATTAATGTTTATAATGTAATGTTATAAATTTATAATCAATTAAGTAATCATTTAACTACGTAATGTTATAATTAATTAAGTAATTATTTAATTATAATATAATGTTTTAATTGATTAAATTTCTAATAATTTAATTAAATATTGTACTAATATTTATAATAGAATGTTATAATTAATTAAGTAACCATTTGTTTATATCGTAATGTTATAATTAATTAAGTAATTATACTATAAATTTATGATGTAATGTTATAATTAATTAAACTTTTAATCATTTAATTAAGTACTGTGGTAATGTAGTAAATTACTAATGTTTATAATATAATGTCATAGTTAATTAAATAATCATTTAATTATGTAATGTTATAATTAATTATGTGATTATACTATAATATAATGTTATAATGAATTAAGTAATCATACTATAAATCTTTAATATAATATTATAATTAATTAAATTTCTAATCATTTAATTAAGTATTGTACTAATGTTTATAATAAAATGTTATAATTAATTAAGTAATCATTTGTTTATAACGTAATTTTATAATTAATTAAGTAATCATACTATAAATTTATAATGTAATGTTATAATTAATTAAATTTCTAATTATTTAATTAAGTATTGTGCTAATATAATAAATAACTAATGTTTATAATATAATTTTATAATTAATTAAGTAATCATTTTATTATGTAATGTTATAATTAATTATATGATCATACTATAATGTAATGTTATAATTAATTAAGTAATTATACTATAAATTTTTAATATAATATTATAATTAATTAAATTTCTAATAATTTAATTAAGTATTGTACTAATATTTATAATTGAATATTATAATTAGTTAAGTAATCATTTGTTTATAATGTAATAATTAATTAAGTAATTATACTATAAATCTCTAATATAATGTTATCATTAATTAAATTTCTAATTATTTAATTAAGTGATATACTAAATTACTAATGTAATGTTATAAATTTATAATTAATTAAGTAATCATTTAATTATAATGTAATGTTATAATTGATTAAGTAATCATTCAACTAGTAATGTATTAATGTTTATCAATTTATCATAAAAATTAATTAATTATTAATTTATTACATATATAATTAGAACTTGATAATTGAAATAAATAAATAAATATTATATTATTATTTAATCAAATATATTATTTTATTCAGAAATAACTATTTTAATACCATTAAAATACTTTTAATTGATCATAATTCTAATTATATACTTAATTAATAAAAAATTTAATATTAATATATTATGATATATTAAAGTTTATATAATGTAGTTTATATGTAATAAGTATAATTATATATTTATTTAATTAGGTTATTATAAAAATTTAATTTTTTTATATTTTAAATTTTTTTACATGTAAAATTATATAATCCCTCCATTCTTTATAGATATTTTATTTTGACCTAGGTTTTAAAATATATTATAAACCAAGTACCCAATACAAATTTCAAGTAAGTTCTAAAACAAGTACCCATTGTAAGTCCTTTTTTTTCATATTTTAATTCCAGTTTGTGTCGATTCCCAAAAAAAAAAAAAAACTGAAATTTATCCGCACATTGTCGATTCTGATTCTACTTTGAAGTTCTGGTTCTACCTAATCCCCATGCGGACACCTACTGCAATCTTAAGGTGGCATAGATTTGGAAATAAATAATTTAATTTAATAGTTAAAGAAGGTGTACTTATTTTGCATTTAATGAGCTTTCATCCAAAAGAAAAAACAAATATTAAATATCCTTGAAAAAAGATGAAGAGTGTACTGTAATGCATTTAATAAAAAAACAAATAAAAAGTGGTTTGTTGATGGAGAAGTGAGGGATTTATCATTTATGAGCTAATGAGATAAAGAAAGAGAAGTACAGAAATGAGAAAACATTGATTGGGCGATGAGATCAGGAAGATGGTTTGATTATTCGGTCAAACCGGTTCAACCGGTTAACTGGGAATCCGATCACCTACCCTGGTCACTGACCAGGTTAGTTTTTAAAACATTGAGTAACATCAGTTTGAACTGTTATAAATAATTAGAAGCTAATAAGTAACTCTGATGCAATCTAATTGGAATATAAGACTTTTTAGATATAATTAATATCAGTAGTTTAAAGGTTTTTTCATCCGGACATAAGGGAGAGGTTACTCTCTCAATCACTTTTAGGATTTTATTATTTTTCTTTTAATAGGATGAGTTGGTTTTTTCTTTTATGGCATACATGAGTTGTGGATTGAGGAGAATAAGGAAATATATTGATGTAATTAGAAACTAATGAATTGTTTAATTTTGTTATTAAAGTATTTTCAAAATAGGTGGCTGCTAAATGCTAATACCATCAGTCTATTCAGTATTCACCTTACTTTTTGTTGTCCTTGTCGGCTGCATGCGTGTTTACCACAAGAATTATCAACCAATAATAATATTTCAACTTAGATAAATAAGCGATCATGGAAAACAAATTTACAACATACATTGCGACATAATGGGGAAGTATTTGTCTTTAACGCATAATGCCATAAATTAAAAATAACAAGGAAAATAGTAAAATAAATTATTATCAAGACAATATTACTAGTCTCATAAATCTCTCTCACTAACACCTCTCACTAACCTTATGTGACAGTTTGTAATTAGTTTGATTAGACGGAACTTATTGTTGGACAGGTGAGACTCATATAAACTAACCAATTATAAACTGACACGTAACGTTTACGAAAGAAAAGTTAGCTAGAGATGTTTGTAACTCCAATATTACTCCTATCAAGCACAAATCGGAGTGGGTAGTTGAGTTGATGGCAGTGACTTCTCATCAGCCTCCATAGATTTTTCCTTTAACAGGTGGGCGAAGTCAGTGAAGCAATCATCCAAGCTACGAAATTGCTCATCAGGATAGAGATCCTTCACTTCAATCTCATCATGACCATCAACTGAAAAATTAACTTGACAGCCCTTAATGAAAATATCATGTGTGAACGATGCAACAACACTTTGTGGTATGATATTCTCTGCACCAAAAAATAAGAAATTAGTAACTTAAATTTTACAGTAAAATTCAATTTTAAAGTAATAGGTTTAGAATGAAGGAACCTGCAGCTGCAGCTAGGAGATCATCCTCAGAAACAGTGACTCTTGGTAAAGTTCTTCCAATTTTCTTTTCCCATAAACATGCAAGCTCGTTAATGTTATAACAATTGGGTTGTGGTCGAAAATGAACCGACTTGTTTACAGTTCGGATGTCATCAGCAATTTTCATTGTGAATTTTCCAATATCAGTGCCGGCAACAAAGTAAGCTACAATACAAAACCATTTTACTATTCTAATTAATTCCTCCTTTTCTCTACCAAACAATTAACAATAAATACTGTCCACAGTCTAATTTTATAAATCTCGACCCGACAGGTGAAACTCATTATTCCACATACGAAACTTAGAGGAAAAATTTATGAGATTAAATTATTAAAATATTTTAAAAAGAATTTTTATATGATCTTAAACTCTTTATTATAAAGAGTTTATCCATAAAAATAAGAGTTTAAAAGGTTCTTTATCCTTTAAATATAAATTAAAGAGTGAGTTTGACTCTCCACATTTAGAGAATCAAATTTAAATCTCTATCATAATTTTAAATAATAAATTATAAGTTTTTATATATTTTATTTATGATTTATCTCCCCTATTAGGTTTTTTTTTCTTGAAAAAATATATTCTCTCTCCTAAAATCTAAAGAGTATTGAATTTAAATAAATATTTTATTCTTTATATTTATAAATTAATGTAGATGTTTTTTATTTATATGAAAAATACTCTTTAAAATAAAGAGGAAGATTAAAAATACTCTAAATGTAATGTTACTCAAACACTGTTAAGTGTTAACTATTAAATCAATTATTTAATTAGAGTAAATAATTCCCTTTTTTTCTATGTAAGTTAATAACCTAGGGGACCATGTAAGGCGTAATTAACACATCTTTAACTTTTTCTTGAAAAACAAAAGCATCTGATAATTTATTATGAAAAGTTGTCGCTGCTGAAATATTTCAGTATTTTTAACAGTTGTCACTTGTCATTTGTTACTTAAAAAGAATTGGGCTCTACCAAACAGTGAGAGGGACTCTAACATGGACTCCAGCTCTTGGCCCAGTAAAAATATAGTGACAGATAAAGAAAGTAAGAAACAAAATAAGGACTTTGACAGGCTAAACATAACAACAAAAAGAATATTGGTTTTCATACAACAAAGTGAACATACATTGAACTACTAGTCTACAGAACAGAACAACCATAGTTTTATCAATTTTCCATTAAGTTTAAATTGAATTATTTAAATATTTTTGTTTATGCAAAATAAGGAAAAGTATGTCATAAAATAAGAAAATACAAATCATATATAATTGACCACCCTTAATTAAAGTAGAGAAGTAAAAAAGACAGGGTAGGAAAAGGCATCCACTATCGAGTCCTGAAACCGACGCTTTGAAATTAGTGTTTTCACGAAATACACAAATTCAACCATATTCTTTGACATTTCAAACCCAATTTTGTATACTTATATAAATACAAATATTGGACAAACACTTTTTTATCTTTATGCGATTCAACCTTAATCATTAAGGCAACGTTCCTTTAAAATTTTTGGTTAAAATTACCTCAGTTGATTACATCACTATATTTTGTATATAGGTCTTAATTGCGTACCTTTGACGCTGCCATCTCCGTAGATTTCAAACTGATCCAACGGAGGAAGAACTTCTGAAGGGTGGTGATTGTTGTAATAGGGCCAAGAAGCAATTGAATTGCAACAAATATAGGTGTAAGGTACACCAAGTTCTTCAATTAAACGCCTGACTTTGCGCTTCTCTTGGTACATGATGAGCCCTGGTTCCACCGGGTCAGCTCTGTCCACGTCATGTCCAAATTCCGACGGCAAAAATCTCTGCAATTTACACTTCCACCTTTCATAAGAACATAAATAGTTTACGATGAAAAATATTATCCAAGGTTTATAAATATTGCATACCTTAACAGTACCAACCGCTTTAATGGCCTCCACCAGATGGAGCTGGTCCAATATTTTCTCACCACCAACACTTGAAATCACGATATCAATCTCGTACTCTTTCAATATTTTCTCCATTATGTCCTTATCACTTATTGATCCCTTCAACGTAAATAAAAAAAGTAAGCAATTATAAAAACAGTAACATGACATGAGCAACAACAACTCAAAGATGCAGAGAGTGATCAATACATATAATACTACAGCGCCCTTGTTTTGAAGTTGCTGGATTATTTTAGCCTTCCTGGGGCTAGTGACACTAGAGCGGACGAGAACATAGGTGGGTCGACCGGAGTCGACGCTGGCGTCGGCTACAAAGTGACCGATGAAGCCGGTGGCTCCAATGATCAGAACCCTGCTGCTCTTGGCCGTGGAAAAAGTGGGTGATACGGTCATTTTTTTTTTTTTTTTTTCTTGGGCAAGTACTTCTTTTTCAAGAAAAGCTTAAGAGAAGGAAAACATACGATCGATTCGAGTTGATTTGCTCTATGTTATTGAGACATATATAGAAGTTGCGGAGGCTTAAGGAAAAAGTTTTACGAGGTGGAAAGATCATCTTAAGTGGCGACATATATAAATAAAAAGTTCTATGTGGCTAATATTCCAACTAACCTTCAACACAAAATTTTCATCATTTATTTACCACACAACCCTTTCGTCAATGAACTTTAGTTTTTTCCCACCCAAAAAAAAAAAAGCTTAATGACATTTTTTTCACCCTCAAACTTTTAAATTATCACTTTAATACCTAAAGTTGTTAGTAATTTTTATTGTGATGAGGACAAGATAGTCAAAAGTCTATTATAAGTGACGGCAGAATGATCAACAAACATTTTGGCCGTAGGAGAAGAAGAAAAGAAAAGGACCGTGCATAGCTAGAAATGGTGCACGTTAGTAGCGTCGAAGTCTGCGGTTTTTGTTATTTTCCATCACTTCCGAGACCACCCACAAAATCTTTATAACCTCCTCTACAAAGCCCAAGTCTTCATTTACCGTCCTCACTCACCATTTCCCACCACAACCTCCATTCACATAGCCGACTCTTCAAGTCAAAGTTTTGGTCGATTTCTTTGCCAGAAATTCACCGAGACACCACAATCACACTCCCCACAACCCACTTTACAAAACCTTACCTCCATCATCGTCCTTTGCTCACCGATTACCGGTCGTGCACCGCACGACCTTTCAACTTCCAAGCTGACTTTCGTTGGTTTCCTGTGTCAAAAATCCACCTTTAGACCACTAGCAGAATCCCCATCCTCTCCTCTCAAAAACCCCTAACAACTTTGACCCCATTTGCTCGCCAATCGCCCGCATCCTCTTCCTAGGGTTTCGGTTGCATGATGAACTTGGGGTGTTCTTTTCCGGTCGATTTTGTTACCAAAAATTGTCCCTGTCACGGCCAATCGACTCCCCATATCTTCCACTCCAAAAGCCCCAATATTCCTGATCTCATTTGCTCACCAATTGTTGACGATAAAAGCTTCCTCACCCTAGGGTTTTTTGAGTTTTAATTAGAGAAAGAGAGAAGTATATTTTCGTCTTCACAATGAAAATCACTGTATTCCCCACCCAAACCAGAGAGAAACATAATAATTAGGTAATAAAATGACATTTTAAAAGTTTGAAGGTGTAAAGCTAATTAAGCATTTTTTTGGGTGGGAAAAAGTAGTTAACTTATTAATTTAAGTAAGTAGTGTTGAAGTGTAGCTCGATGTTCTTGACTGGTAGCCTAGAGCCTCGTGAAGAGTGAAATAGGAATAAATCATCGAAATTTAAATACAAACTTGGACCACAAAACATATCATCGAAATTATCAGTTGATGACTAAACTTACTTTCAAAAAATTATATTGAGTTAATTGCCTACAAACATTTTCTTTTTTTGTGTGGATTATGTTAATGCTTGGTTAGTAGGTAGAGTTTTCAGTTTGTTAATTGATTGGGTTTTCATAGATCAAGTTCACCAGCCCCTACCAGATGCTTGACAACAGTAGGAATTGTGTTAATTTCATGGATTTTTTCTTACTGTTTCAACACTGAAATAGAACTAATAACAGTTGCAAGTTTTTCATTTTTCTTTATTTAATTATCAGTTGATGGATAAAATAGTCATTGGTTGGTTCGGAATCGCTATTATTTTGCGAAACGGCCGACAATATCGTTTCTTTTATCCATGAAATTGCTGTAGTCAGTCATGTAGATTTCCATTATTTTCATGCACATGCAATGCAATTAAGTTGAAGTTGCAGAGAATAATATTCAATTTGGTAAACAAACCATTTCTGAATATTATAATGAAGTAACTAAATTAATTGCAACTCCAACAGTATTGAAATTTGAAAATGGTTCACAGAAAACCAGACGCTTGGAGAGAACGTGGTCATATTCAGATGTTCTACCTTTCATTGGGTTGTCCCCTAAAAAGATATATAAATATTACAATACAGCAAAACCAAAGGAATCCCAATGGAGAGCCAGACGCATAAGAAATAAAACAGCTTAAAAAAAAAAAAAAAAAAAAATCAATCATATTATTAAAAATGGGTTAACATGAGGGAACAAGAATGTTTGGTCTTTTAAATGTTTCAACTAGACCGTGTTTTAGTAACAAATCAATTGCTTTAATTTTGTGAATTTGTAAATAAATATTTTAATAATCGATTAAAATAAACAGTAAATCGACAAAATAAAGTCATTGGTATTCTATCAACCAGCCACGATTGTTTACCATCAATTTAACATTTTAATAATAATAGAGTACCCACCCAAGATTTGGCGAATCCACAGTGCCCACGCCTGGTTTCATAAATCACAATTCCCACCCACAAATTAACGCCATTACTTTTTTCACAAAATAACCCCTGTATCTCTCAAATAACCCTCAAAGGTTCCCAACCAAGCCAAGAATCTAGCCTGATTCCAGCACCATTGGACCTCCCTAACATCACCATCAGCATCCCCTTATCCTCCTCATAAAAACCCCTAACTTTTCTACCTGATTGCATCTCAACGAGGTGCCGGAATTTGGTTAGAAAGGGGCGAAAAAATGCAAAAACATAAGGGAGAGGCGACGGCGATCGGTGGGCAATTACAATCAGAAATGTTGGGGGTTTTGGTGGGGGGAAGCCGGCGATGCTATTGGTGGTCTTAGGGGTGGTTTTCAGTGTCGGAACTTGCCAGAATTTAGATGAAATGTCGATTGATACTAAAAGCGACGGTCGGCGATTGGGGGATTCAATTAGGCGGGGAGGTTAGGGGTTTTGATGTGGGGTTTGAAGGGATTGTAATTGTGGTGTCAGGAGAGGTCGATTGTGTCGAAAACATGTCGGAATGATCTGAAATCGTTGGTGGAGTGAATTAGAGAAGTGAAGGGTTATTTTAAAATTTTTATCTTTGAAATGAACATTTTACCCTTTTGACTGTTAAATTAAACAATTATATGTTAATTTAATTGTAGGAATCTGCAATTTATGATACTAGGGGAGCGAACTGTAGATTCACCAAACGTTAGGTGGGAAAATGTCGTTTACTCATAATAATAACATAAATCTGATTTAAGCTAAACCCATATCCAATCATTATTCGGTAAAACACAAAAACAGCTGCTGATTCATTTAAATATTTTTATTTTTTGATCAGAGAATAACGTCAGATTTAATTTATAACATTAATTACTCAACCATTTTTATTTTATTAAAGAAATTAAAGTCCATTTGATTCATGATTTGAAGATAATTTTTTAAGATACAATGAATCGATTTTGATCTGAAAATATATTTGATATAATATTTTTTTAAAAAAAATTGTCAAAATAAATAAAAATATTCTATAATAATCACATTGGATTTAATGTATTACTTTGTCCAACTTTCAAGGAGATACCCTAATTAAACTATAACCATTTGGGGTCCAAGTGTTAATTACTTCATTTCTTATAAAATTATTATTGTAAAATGGGGCCCCTTCTTCTAGTTTACCTCCAATCTTTTGGATCTAATTTTAAATTAAATTAGACCAACTAATGATAGAGTTCAAGTGTCCAAGGAGAAAATGTGAATAATGATCTAATATGAAAATGTAAACACAGCATCTAAAGCCTTAATTTGGCATCTTCTTAATTGAAACCAATATGATATGTTAATAAATACATTGTTTAAGTAGTTGATGCACATGTACTCTATTATTTAATACAAGTAAAAGGGTGGATTTAAGTTTAAAGATATATTGTAATATTTGGTTTACATTTATTATTTTAATTATTCATTCCATTTTTTTTTAAATGTTTAAATAACTACTGATCTAAAATGATTTAAAGAAAAATTAAGAAAAGGGGCAGTGAGTGTTTGTTATACAAAAGAGAATGCAATTCTTAGAACGTCTATCAATGTTTTATGGTCATTTGAGGAAATCACAAATACACTTGCTCTCCTTCTGTTTAATGTTTTACTGACAAAATCGTCCTTCAACTTAATTGACGGTACAAACTTATATTGTCTGATATCAAAATCTTCTATTTGAACACTAGAAAATTTATTTTTAAAATAATGTTAAATATCTTATCAACAAATCTCAACTAACCCCACCAATCTAACTTCACCCAAATGGTCTCCAAAAATTAAAATTCAACTTATCCATATTAAATTACCGTAGTAAAACATTGGTGCCCCGTGCCCATGTTGCCAAGCCACATTTCTCTTTCTTCAACTTGTAGACGTAAATTGTCCCAACTTTCAATGTTTATTAAGTTGATGAATACTTTTTATTTATGACCCCCGCGGGGGATGGGCATATCTCAATTAGTCTCCGAAACCCTGAAACTATTGGTTTGGTAAGAGCTTCAGTAGTCACCCCTATTAGCAACCGTGAGAACTCGAACTCAAAAGGTCACGTTAGATCCTCACGTTGGTCTTTTATCTTTAAAAAGATCCGAACTTGAGAGATTATGTTAGATTCTCTTTTTGAGAGATCATGTTAGATCTTCCTCTTATCTTTTACTATCAAGGGGATTCGAACTTGAGAGACCATGTTAAATCCCCCTTTGCTCTTTTATATCAAGTCACACAATGGTGGTTGTTGACGAATATTTTTGCTAGTTATATATATATATATCCTTCTAAGAACTAAAATGAAATTAATTTTTGCAATATTATACCTCAATGTTGGAGGCAGCTGCAACATAAAGTCGGGGTTGAACTTTTAACTTGAAAGTAGACGAAGAAACGAAAAGAAAAAGTTAACACATTTGGTCCATTGAATGACGTCACAGACAAGAATATCTAAAGCTTCATATATGGGTTTGACTTTCCAAAATTCCTGGGTAAATATCCACTGTTTGATAAGTTAGAATATTAAAACAGCATAGACAAAAGAATATTGAAATGAGTTAAAGAAATATTACTGAAAAGTGAAATAGACGAATAAGATAATAGTTTTCGTAGGTAAGATGTATGGATCATCACTTTCTCTCGATTACTTAAACTTCAACGACTTGTTGCATCTAACAAATTAGTCAAATGTTTGGCTTTGGCACCAAACTTCATCCCACG